TCCGTTCCACCCAGCAGCGCAATGAATCCTACTTTCTCCCAGCGCTACGAGACTATAGAGATTCCTAAGAGAAGTAAGGTAGCTGGCTTCCTAATTTGGCCTGAAAACAGCATGTCCTGAAGTCCACAGGCAGCACAGTGACTGCTGACCCCAAACTCTCACGGACTGAGAACACAGGGCCCAGGGCCTAATCCCACCCAGGGAACTTGGGAATGTCCCCGACCCAATCAGGGCCTCACCTTCCTCCCGTCTAAAATGGCAGCAAACAGAACCACCCTGCCACGGCCCCCCCAAAGTTCCGCAGGGGCCAGGAAAAGAGTCCTTTTCCAGGGTTCTGCCTTGTGGAGTCCCAGACATCACAGCAGGTGCTAATAAAAGTTTGTTGAGTGAATAAATGAAAATACGTGTTACTAGCTTGCCTCCCCTCCCCCAAAGGCCTTAAGCACAGAGTCTGTGTCTAATTCCATTGTAAGGCTGCCACCTCTCCAGTAGGCTGATTCATGCAGGGAATCGTTCCCAAGCACCCGCTGGGTGCCCGGCCCAACCAAGGTCTCAGTGCCATCCGGGCACCCTCAGTCTGTGTCCTACACGCTACCCCCTTCTCTGTTCTCTGGTCAGTGGCCATAATATTAGGCTGGGCTTTCCAGGCCAGGCCAGCCAGCCAACCGCCTCATGCCCAGCACGCCTGGACCATCCTAGGGATGTGGACCACGATTCCTACACTCCTACTTCCTCATGCCCAGACCTGGGGGAACACAGCCCGGGGAACACCCCTCCCCCAATGACATGCACGCATATGTGCTCACATGCACGCACACACACGCACACATACGTGCTCACACATACACATATCCAATGTGCGACGCCACCCTAGGACGAGACTAGGCTTTGTCAGTTCAAATCCCAGCTCTCTTGCTTATGGCGTGTGTGACCTTGGGCAAGACCCTTTATCTCTCTGATCTTCATGTTCTTTGTCTATAAAATGGGGATGATCATCACGATGCCTTTCTAGGTAGGGCCTTGAGGAGGATGCAGAGAGATACTGGATATGAAAGCCTTTGGCTCAGCGAAGGGTGCTGCGCTCAATACAACTATTCTTCTCGTTTGCTTTCTCCAGGAGGGAGAGAGAATCGCTGTTGTCTGAGCCCCAGCGAAACCCACATTTACTGGGCTGGGATGTGGGGATTTACTCAGTATATCTGCTGGGGATTATCTTGAGGACAGGAAAGTATTTGTGGAGCCAAGATCACCATGTTGACACGATGTTAATCAGAATTTAGACTTAAAATCAGAGAATGGAGGAGAGCCCAGAGGTCACCATATTTGTGGCAGAGATGACTTGTTGTTTGCGAAAATCCACCCTCCCCTTGCACCGCATATAGCTGACATTGGGGGAAAGCCACCCTGCCGAGAACTCTACTTCCCAGCCTCCTTTGCAACTAGATTGGCCACATGACTAGTCCCCTCGTGTGGGAGCAGGCACTGAAAAAGTACACATGCCATGTCCATGCTTTCTTCCATCAGTGGTGATGTCCAAGGGGACAGTAGGGACATGCACGGAAGAGGGCCACCCCCATGCAGAAACCCCAGCCTTATAATAAACGCCTGCATTATATGGGTTTGCAGCTATTTATTCCAGTAGCTCCTTCCCTGACGAATACAACACTCAACCTCTTTGTTTACAAATGAGACGATTATGGCCAGAGAGCAAGAGCACCTTGCCTGAGCCCATGCAGCACATCCCACAAAGTTCAAGAACGTTGGTCTCTTTTCAGTTTGGGGGAGATTTGCCATGTTCAGCCTGCTCCCACCAAAGCTCTAAGAGTGAGTTTCGGTGAGCCCTCCACTTCTGTTTCAACTAACACAACGTGTCTTTGGTCTGTTTTCAGACTGCCGTCCTCCGTATATTTTCACTGGGAGACAAGAATTCCATTCTATGAAAATGATTCCAGAGCCCACACACCGGGTGACCGCTAGCACGCTCTGGCTTTCTGGGGTGTTACGAGATAAAGTTTCACTTCTTCTGCACCATGCGTCCCGGCCTCAGCTGCTGACACAGGACATGAAGAGTCACAGAAGCACATAGATAATTTGCTTAGAAAGGGAAAAACATAAACCTCAGTGTCTGCAATAAACAACCCAGAAACCTGGACAAAAGGCACACAAGGAAAAATGGTCACATACCCTAGCTCGGTGGCCCTCAGGCTTTGGGATGCATCAGACTCATCTGGGGGGGGCTGGTGTAAAAGGAGGACCCCCACCCCACCCTCAGAGACCCTGACTCAAAACACTGGAGCGTCAGGAAATGCTCATGATTATTCTGCATGAATAATATGATTCATGATGTTTCTGATGCCCACATTCTCAGGAGGGTACTTTGAGAAGCCCCGAGTCTACTTCGTAGCCCTGAAAGTGGCAGTAATTACCGGCAGTAATAAGCACACTCGTGCGGCGTAGCTCAGAGAGTGAAATAGGTTTTTAGTACTTTTGTACTCTGATGGGAAACTGAGCATCACTAATCCACTGGTAACGAAATTCATAACCATTTCTATTTGGCTCAAACGGGTATCAAAGGTTATAGGCAGCATGCTGGTGTAGAAGTGATCGCAGAACCATGGCTGATGTTTACAGGGCCCCTCAGGACACACCGAGCCCTCTGCCAAGTGCTCCACCTGTGTGACCTTATTTACTCTTTATAATATTCCCATTTCACAGATGAGGACACAGGCGCAGACAGAGAACTTGTGCTATGTCGCTCCGTCGGCAGGGGGCAGATCAGGTTCGAACTCACCCAAAAGGACTAACTCCATAGCCATGACATACTAGGTGCTAGTGCCTCTCATGGAGGTCTCACGTCGGAACCCCTCTCCAGGCCTCAGTTTCCTAATCTGTACAATGGGCATGTTAATAATATCTCTGCCATCCAGCCACGGTGAGGATTCAAGAAAATCATGGGAATAGGGCACCTGGGTGGCTCAGTCAGTTAAGTATCCAACTATTGATTCCGGCTCAGGTCGTGATCTTGTGGTTCGTGGGTTCGAGCCCCATGTTGGGCCCTGTGATGACAGTGAGGAGCCTGACTGGGATTCTCAGTCTCTCTTTCTCTGCCCCTCCCCCACTCACCTTCTATCTCGGTCTCTCAAAATAAATAAATAAATAAACATTAAAAAATATTAAAAAAAGGAAAAGAAAAAAGAAATGGCAGTAAAGTGGTTTGCAAACTGAGAGGAGTTAAGTAAATTAACACTGAAGGGAAGAGACTTTGACTCTCCCAATCCCGTTTTACAGATGGCAAAACCGAGGCCTTGTCACTTTATTCAATGAACATTTACTGAGCTTCTACTGTGTGCTAGGTCTTCTGCAGAGGACTGAGGATACAGAGAGAATAGTGTCCAAGTCTGGCCTCAAGGAACCCCCAGGTTAGCAGGAGCGACAGAGGAGGCTGAGCCCTGAGAGAGGAACCTCTCAGAAGCTGTCAAGCCTGAGAAAGGAGTGACTTTGCCAAAGTCAAGTTTACCTATTCCCTGAAGTTTTGGCAGAGAAGGTTCCTGGGTACCAAGAGAGAACTCTTCCCACAGGCTTGTCACTGCCGGACACCCCACCACTTAAGCACCCCTGGGTTCAGTTAAGCTTTCTTTTACTGAGAAAGTGCCCAGTACCCCCCCACTCCCACCCCCAGAGGACTGGATTAGCCTCTCACGTTCCCCTCAACAAATAGGGCATTGGATGAGCCTCTCCTTTGCACAAGTTTGGAGGAAGTGGGAAAGACAGCAAGAACCACAGGTAAGATTGGTCTTCAAAATGAGGTACGGGCCGCCAAAAGGGAAGTTGGGGGCCAGACCTCTTAATGGAAAAAGAAGACAGACCCAGAGCCTAGCTGGCCACTTCCTCGCTAGCTAATCTGAACCACAGGACAGTCTGAGTGATCAGACTTACATCAAACAACAGTTCCTTGATTATGATGCATTGTTTGTAAGTTCGCCCAAAGCTAACTTTTACAGCGCACTCACCTAAACAGGAGCACGCCAGGGCGCCTATGGGGGACCCTCTTGATCTCAGCTCAGGTCAACATCTCACGGTTTGTGAGTTCAATCCCCGTGTCGGGGTCTGTGCCGACCATGTGGAGCCTGCTTGGGATTCTGTCTCCTCTCTCTCTCTTTCTCCGCCCCTCTTCTGTCCGTGCCCTCTCCTTCTCTCTCTCTCAAAATAAATAAGTAATGTTTAGAAAATAAATAAATAAATGGCGGCACACCACCCACGTGCTAAGTCTGGAAGCAGAGGGGAGTGTGGCGCTTGATCAACAGACGGCACTGCCAAAGGGTCCGTATCCTTCATATACGAAGAACTCTTAAATGCCAACAAAAGAGAAGCGTGCCAGCAGGAAGGAAGTGGGAGTGGACTTGAACCGTATACTCATAAAAGAAAAGTGAACAGCAAGATTGTAAGGGACAATTGGCATTTATAAAGAAACGTAAAGGGGGCGAGCAGCCAGAGAGCATTCTCACCAGAAGCCTCACAAACCTCAGAATCAGGCAAACAGTTGCTCAGTGATTTAGCCTTTGAAAAAAAGTATCCATGGGACAGAGGTGGCCACACCTTATTACTGTTTGTAATAATAGAAAACAAGAAGAAAGAAGCAACCCCAGTGAGGAATGGTTACATAAATTCCAGGACATCTCTTCCGTGCCGTCAGGAGAACGCACACTGATGGGATATGGATGGAAGTTCACGGTCGGTGGCAAAGGACAAGGTAGGAGACCCAGCAAGGTGTTGGGTGCATATTGAACCTGCGTCTGCTGCATCGTAGGCCCTCAACAACCAGCAGAGATACATTAGGGGGTGAGCGAGGGTGTGAGTGATGGACAGAGCCACCGGAAAGGCCACTTCTGGGTGGGGACCTCCTCCTGAGTCTGTACTAAGAGTCCAGGGGCGAAGGAGGTGAGCTGTGCAGATGCTCATTTTGCTCCAGTCTCGCACCCCCCACCCCAGCGCCGGCTTACCGTCTCTGCAGCCCTGAGCCGGCGCCTTCCTCTCTCTGAGCCTCAGTGTCCCCACCTGTAAAATGAAGACACCTGTAAAATGGTGGCGTTGCCGTGAGCGTTAGTGGAGTCACGAAGGAAAAACGCTGGGCTCGCTGCTTTTAAAACTACAGTGACCCCGCTATATGCACGTTACTCCGGATCTCTGAAAATCACATAGAGCTGTTTTCATTTTGACAAAAATAAAATTTCAAGCAGAGCCACGGGCCTCCTCTCTCTACTAGGAGCCCCCTTTCCTGACCCCTCCAGAGGAAGTCAAAGCCCAGCGTGATACCTTGTGTCTGGTCTCCGCCTGGGTTGACCCAAGGGTCCCCCTGGACTTCAGGCCACTGGAGGCGGTGCCGGGGACCCGTGTTGCCGGACTTCTTTCTCTCAGTCACCTCGTTCTGTGGCTGTGGCTGTGGCTGCTGGCCCCGAAAGCCGTCCGTCCATTCATTCAAGATCCCCTGGACGCCCCACCCCCCAAGATCACAGCCTCCCCTGAAACACCCTCATCCCTCAGGAGGCTCTCCCGGAGGCCTCATTCAGTCCTGAGCTCCTCTCTCTCTCTCTCTCTCTGCTGTCCTGAATGGGACAGAGCTCTGCCAGAGAAACAGCTGGAAGGAGGAGAGAGGGAGAGGGAGGGGCAGGAAACTGGGCTGGCCGAGGGCGGGGGCGGCCAGCTGCAGGGAGTGGGGGCCGCCAGGGGAGGCTGCCCCTGCCTGCCAGCGGGGGACCGGGCTTGTGGATGGTGGCTGGTGGCGGGGCCTGCCGGGAGGGGTGGCGGTGGCCGAGCCCAGCTGGGAGTGGTGCTCACCATCTGAGCACAAACCAGGAGCACATGCAAAGCCCCGGGCAGCTGTGGGCCGCGGGGCCGCTCCTACAAGGGCCACGGAGCTGAGCGGGGCCGCTCCTACAAGGGCCACGGAGCTGAGCTGCCGGATACCCCACCAGGCTGGGCCATCACCTCTCTCCGCCCACCGGGATGCCCTTCCTGGCCTGAGGTGTGGCTTGATGACCTCCAGCTCCCTTTTTCCTTTCTTTGCTTTATTTATTTATTTTCTGTGCGTGTGTAAATTAAAACGGCAGTGAGATTTTTTTTTTAAGTATCACACAAAGATTAAAATGTTTTATGTCTGGTTTTAGCAAATGTTACAGGAAAAGTAAAAATCTTCCCCATAATTGGAATATATGCCGATATGCCATTTCTGGAGAGCTGCCTGACATAGATACAGCAAAACGGTTTATCACTACGTGTAGAGCCTGCACTGTGTAAATGCAAATCCTGCTTGGGGCGCCTGTGTGGTTCAGTTGGTTGGGCCGTGATCTTGGGTCACGATCTCACGGCCCAGGCTGTGAGTTCGAGCCTCATATCGGGCCCTCTGCTGTCAGCGCAGACCCCGCTTCTGATTCTCTGTCCCCCTCTCTCTGCCATGCCCCTGCTCACTCTCTCTCTCTCAAAAATGAATAAACACTAAAAACTAAATAAATAAATGTAAACCTTTTCATCCGCACACCCTGCTCCCCAGAGATGAGTATCACTGACACTTTGGTATGAACACACACACACATATACGTTCTAAAATAAATGTCAGATGGCTTGGTCACATTCCGTGTAGAACAGTGTGCCCCACTTTTTCATTCATTGATAAGGGTGTGTGAGTGTGCGTGTGTATGGACGTCCTACCCCGCTTTAATAGCTGCTCATTATTTCATTGAATTAATGCACTGACTTCTTTCGTCAATACTTTCTTGGTGACTGGTCAGGTTATTTTCAACTTGATGATAATAAACACACCAATTCACACTTGTCCAATTCTTTTCTTAAGCAAAATTCCTATGAACGTATTCATTATTCAGAGGGTCTCCTGGTCCCGTTTCAAGTCTCAGCTTGGGGACCAGCTCCGCAGAAGCCTTCCCTGCCCCTGGGGGTTCTGCTCAGACCCCTGGGTTCCCCCTCTATCCACAGTGGCGGCTGTTGCCCCTTCCTATTAGGGTGTCTCTCTCCCTTACACTGGCAACTCATTTGGGGAAGGAACTATATTTTGTCCCCTGCTCCATCCCCAGCGCTAAGTATGGTGCCTGGCTCACTGTGTATTGTTAGCAGAATAAACAAAAAGCTACTTAGTTCTCAGGGCAACCCTGCGAAGTGGGTACTGTTCCTGTCCTCCTTTTATCAGTGAGGAAATTGGGACGCAGAAAGGCTAAGTCACTTGCCCTACGCCACACAGATGATAGGCGGGAGAGCTGGGATTCCAACCCGACTGTGTGGCTCCAGAGCCCGGCCCTCGGCCCCCGGAATAAAGAGCTAACAGAAGTGCCCACTGCATGCATGGTCCTGTGTCAGGTGCTTTCTACGGAGTGACTCACGCAAACTTCCAGCAATGCGTGTAGCATCTCATGTTACAGATGAGAATGCTGAGGCCACGGGGGAGCAGTTATTCCGCGAAGAGCACCCAGATGGGGCTGATGGAGGCCTGCTTGCACCCAGGTCTGTCTGATTCTAAAGCTAAGACTGCCAAAAATAACTTGTGTAGAAAGGAAAAGAGAAGGGGAGGAGAAAGGGGAGGGAAAAATTGAGAGAGAGAAAGAAGAGGGGGGAGGCAGAGAGGGAATAGAAAAGAGAGAGAGGAAGAGAAAGAAAGGAAAAAAACAGACAGAGAGAGAAAGGGTGGGGGGGAGGAAGGAAGGGAGAAGGAAGCGTCACTTGGTCATCTTTAGGCCTCAGAGGCTTGGGCAGGTGTGGGAACATGTCCTTGGCCATCTGACCAGCCGTAGACCCTCTCCTTTCCCTCCCTACAATCCTCAACTGTTAGTTCACTGAGATTGACACTTGGAAACTACTGTCTCTTTCATTCCCTAGATACTAACTGGAAGCACAGAGAGGTTAAGTCACTGTCCAAGGCCACACAGCATCCTAGAATCAGAAGTCAGACCCAGCTTGACTCCAAACCCCTCTCCTCCCCCCTGTGCCAGGCTTGCCCAGAGGACTTAGAGCATCTCATCCATGCCTTTATTGTACAGATGGGAACACTGGACCCAGAGAAGGCAAGGGATGCATCCGAGGCCACCCAGCAGTTACCAGCAGAGCAGCAGCCCCAGAGTATCCTAGTCCAAAGGTGAGGATATTCCCACAATGCAGTAGAGAGGCTGTGTATCATGTACATCACCATCTAAAGGTCTGTCACTAACAGAGACCAGTGGTTCTCAAAGTACAGGTCCTGGACCAGCCGCTGCTGTCTTGCTGGGGGGCTGGTTAGAAATGCAAGCTCACAAGCCAGGTGGTCCGCAGCCCTGGGGAACCAGAACCTCGACAGGCTGGGCCCAGGGAGCTGCACGTTCAAAAGCGCCAGGGGATACGGATGCTCGCTCACATTTGAAAACCACCGATACAGACATTTCCAGTAGGAATAAATCCTGGATCCCAGAACGAGTTACCTTGTCAGCCTACGGAATCGTGGTTAAGAGCGGGGGCTCTGAAATCAGACAGAGCAGATGTGACCGAATCCCTGTCTCCACTACTGTGACTGAGGCAAGTCCTCCCTGAGCCACAGTTTCCTCATCTGCTAGGGACTGAGGAGGACTGGGGTGGGGGCGGGGAGAGAAAGCGGAGGAGGCCTGGGAGGAGGGGGAGGGGAGGAGGAAGTGCAGGAGGGAGAGGAGATGGGGGGGAGGGGGGAGGGGAGGGGAAGAGAAGGGGGAGGAAGATGGGAGGAGGGGGAGGGGAGAGGAGGAGGCAGTGGACAAGGGAGAGGGGACGGGAAAGAGACAGATGAAAGAGAAAGAGATGGAGGGGGAAGGGCAGGGAAGAAGGAGGGGAGGAGGGTGAGGAGGCAGGGAGGCAACCTCTGAGGAAGGTCTGGGACACTCAGGATATCCTGGACGGGGAGTGGAGCCCAGTGAATCCAGCCCCTGGATGGATTTATGGAAATTGCCTCTTCCTCCTTCATTGGTGTTGGATGCTGTTAATGCACGTCTCCTCTTACCTCCCAAGCCAACCCAAGGCTGTAATGAGGTTTGGGTTTTATTGGCTGGGAGATCCAACAGACTGAGGACTCTGGGTTTCAGGCCAGTGGGGGGTGGGGTCAGATCACACAGCCCCATGGGGGACCCCAGTGAGGAAGAGGAGGAGTCTGGCTAACCCCCGCCAATCAGAAGCCACAGCTCTTTGGTCACCATTCTGAACATGGCTGAGAAGTTTGGCTATTTCTTCCTCAGAGTAAAAAGCATTGCTGGGAGAGCGGGATGGGGAGGAGGGTAGTTTTTTGTTGTTGTTTTTAAATAGGATTCTGAAATCTAAGGCCTAACATCAGGACACTGGGACCTGCGAGAGAGGTGGTGGCAAAGAAACCTCTCTTTATTCCCCTGGAAACTCTATATAGTTCCAAGATGGCGGGTCAAGCTTCATCTTCTACCCAAATCCAGTTGGTTGACTCTGGAATCCTAGAGCCCTGTGTTAAAGGAAATCTGAGGCTACATCCTGGACTGGCTGGAAGGAGCACCGTTACTCATTAGCAATGCCTACCTTAGATCTAAAGGAAGGGCTTTGCCTTTCTCATCCCACTCTGTCTTCCAACAAAAGCCCATCCCATTGGCCTAGGAGGCTGGGGGCCTGGTGCCAGCTCTGCCTCATCCTGCCCCTCCTATTGGCTGACCCTAGTGTAGATAAACATCGTTTAAATTTATTTTTTAAAGTTTTTTTTTAAATTTATTTTTGAGAGACATATAGACTGAGTGTGAGCAGGGGGAGGGACAGAGAGAGAGGGAGACACAGAATCTGAAGGAGGGTCCAGGCTCCGAGCTGTCAGCACAGAGCCCCATGCGGGGCTTGAACTCACGAATGATGAGATCATGACCTGAGCCGAAGTCCGATGCTTAATCGACTGAGCCACCCAGGCACCCCCAGATAAACTTCTGTCTTAATTCCCACAGCCCTTGGTATCTGTTTCGGGTTGATGTTTAGTGTTCATAGATTCTCAACGCTCTAGTTAAAGCAAATGGTTTCCTTGCTCCCCTCGATTATCAGCCGCAAAACTAGGTTCACCAGAGAGGCTCTCAAGCCACAGGAAGCCTGGGAAAACGCTTTTTGTGACACAAATGATTCCCTGTAAATCCAAACTGTGCCTACTTTGGACTTTCTTTAAGAGTTCCACAGACTGCGCTGGAATGAGAGCTCCATTTCAGCCGTGTGGCCTTGGGCAAGTCATTCCTCAACTCTGGTAGGTTTGCTGCTCATGTGATTTAAGTTGCAGGGCTGAGGACATGGTGACTGGTGAGATGGGGAGATGACCCTGCATTGCCCATGGGGACCCAGAGGAATCCAAGCGTGTCAGAAGAGGAAGGCAGGGGATCAGAGCTCTGGGAGGAAGGAAGCAGACACCTCCATGTGTGGCCACAAGCCAAGGAACACAAGCAGCTTCCGCCCTGGAAGGCGCAAGGAGTGGGTTCTCCCCGAAACCCCCAGGAGTCTTGATTTTAGCCCCTTCGGACTCATTTTGGACTTTGGAGCTCCAAAACGGTAGGAGGATAAATCTGTATTGTTCTAGGGCCACTAAATTCGTGATCAT